GGGGGGGGGGGGGGGGGGGGGGGGGGGGGGGGGGGGGGGGGGGGGGGGGGGGGGGGGGGGGGGGGGGGGGGGGGGGGGGGGGGGGGGGGGGGGGGGCTGTAGGCGGCCAAACCTTGCGGGAGGGATGGGTGGGGTGGTATGCAGGCATGATAACCGCTCTTTTTGAGGTGTAGCAAAACCACGTCAAGGTTTCGTCACAAAGTACAACGGGGAAGGAAGGGCGTGCCCATCCCAAGGGCGCGGCTGCGGGACAAACATCCGGATGAAAGAAGAGCATTTCTTTGCCCTCCGAAGAGCCCAAACGGAAATGATTTGTGACAACGCTTGAATTCTGGAGATAGGCTGGTGGTGCCTCGTTTCCTGCCTCTTCGCGCCCGTGGGCAAGGGTAGAACTAAAACAGCCCCGAGGGAATCTTCCAGTACTCACGGTGCGCGTGTAGTGGGGACTTTGATTAATGGCGCGATATTTCCCGCAGCATCCCGTGACAATTGAACAAAACACGGGTAATAGTATGCGGTTCGTTCAATATGGATCCAAGTACGCGGAGGCGGTCGTCCCTACCCGGCACGAACCAGAACCCGCGTCTCGAACACTCACCGACTGGGCGTGCGACTGCAGCTCCCCGACGGCGTCTGAAGACCGGCCGTTCTCCGCCAGCAACCGCTCGTGATCTCGCTTCAGGGACACTATCTCCGCTCTCAGCCGGCTCAAGTCAGCGTCTTGTTCCTCGATCTTGTGTCGCTGTCGGTTCTCGAGGCTGCGGGTGGGAGTCGGGACGCGACGTAAACAAAAAAACGGGACGGGACATAAGTTGGGACGCACACAAAAATATGGAACGGTACGGGAGTTGAGGTGCAGGGAATAAACCTGGGACGGGTAAGGAGAGTTGGGACGCAGAGAATAACAACGAGACAGGATTGGGTTTGGTACCGCACCAGGCAGGGTTGGAAGAACGATCCATCGGGAAAAAAACCTGCAGAGAGAAACAACCGAACCCTAGAGAACCAACGCGTCTTGCCAACGCCTACCGCAGGCTACATGATACACCACACGTTTCTTTGGACTGAGTTTCAGAGACCGACTGCAGTAAGAAGTGGTCTGATTCCTTCGCATACACCGGAGATAGACGAGAGCAGCAGTACACCACCGCTCCTTTTTCTTACCCCACCGCCATGTCAGGGTTCATCATCTCGGTGTAGCTGTGGTGTATCCGCTTGAGCTCCGTCTCGCAGTCCCCGAGGCGCTTCGCCAGCGAGTCTCTCTCCTCCCTCAGGACCTTGAGCAGAACCGTTTGATTCAGGCCTTCCTTTGCCGCGCGGAGCCCTCGGCAGGCGTGCACCATCACCTGCGGGACGTGTATGTTATAAAACGAACGGATAGGCCGTGATCTCTTGATAGACCCGACGTGGGTTTTGCGACGAAAATCCTGGGTAACAGCAGCGGGTTCGAGGATCATTGGCTTTTGAGGTCACTATCACCAGACAAAGGCCGCACGACAGAATCAAATGCGAGAGTCTTCTACTCGCTCAACGCAGAGGAGGTAAGTTTGTTCCGTGGTGAGAAGTCAAGCACTCCAAGTGTAAGAGTCATTGCCCCGATTAGTAGTCGACATTTCCAGCTGTCCAGGTTCTCCATGAAAGACACGAAAGAGTGAGCGTCACAACTCCGGGCATTTCATCTACCTATAATAGTGAATTTCTGGATCCACTAACGACAAGCCCGAGAAATTGTCGAAATCGGGTGGTTTGGGAAGAGGTTGCACGTGTAGGTCAATTTTTCCTCGTTCCCTCTTGCCTGTGGAGCAATCGATCGCTGAAAATCCATCACGAACGTACCCTGCCTTGCATTCGCCTTCACTCGTACGGAAATGTTTGCATATGAACACCCTCAATGGAAATGTTTTTCTTGCGTATCGCCTAGGAGGGTGCTCTCTAAAAGCGGGGCGATTTTCGTGCTTCCTAGAAAAAACAGATCACCTGGAACTTGTAGCAGAGCTCGACGAAGTATCTCGTGCACGTAGAGCAGTGCTCTGCATCCGACTTTGCCTGAGTGTCTTGCATGGGGCGGGAGGAGTACGTCACGAACGGCCTCTCGTTGGGCACTGTTTTCTTCGCTGTTTATCGCGTGTCCAACATTGCCCCATCGGTAATACGGTAGACCAAATCAACCTATCTTCACTAACTAACAGCCCTGTACACCGGCACATGGCAGAGCCAAGTCTAGAGCAGCCAAGGCGTGTGTCGAGTGCGCGAAGGAGCACGAAAAAGTGCTCACAAGGAACCGTAGCGTGCGATCTAAGGAAGCACGGGCATTTTGAAATGGGCTATTCTTCCCAAGGCTTCGGCTTCCAAAAATGTTGATGTCTTCGAAAAACTTGAAAAATGTTGCAAAACCTTGGAAGGGAATGGTTCCAACACTACTTGGAAGTGGTAGATAATATTAACATAGCTACCATTGGTTTTTGAAACTTTCCTTTCTTTCTGCGTTCGCAATCGCTTAGCCAAGTCCCCCAACACACAAACTCTCCAAACACTGGACAAATCGCGCCCGGTGCAAGACGCCCCTCGCGATCCAACAATATCCATGCTTCTATTGCACCTTTCTCCATCCTGAGGTAGCTCTCCATGTCGACGAAAGCGGTGCCGAACTCCTTGTCCATCTCCGTCTTGAGCTCCAGAAGACGAGAGCTCAGCCCCGCCTGAAGCCGCTCGCGGATGAGAAGGAGCTGGTTCGTGGCCGAGACAGCTTGGAGGCTGCTGCCGCTGGTGTCGGTGGTGTCCACCTGCCGAAACCTCCGGAATAGCCGCTCGATAGTTTCCACGCTGTAGGCGCTGTTTTCGTGCGGAAAAGTAGTGGTGTCTTTTAGGTGGCCATCACCGCTGTGCGATCTGTCTTGGGGTACGCCACTGGTTCCGTATCTGTAGAGCTCCCGGCGTGCTTCGCACGTGGCATGCGTTTCGGAGAAGAACGAAAACGCTCAGGCCTGCGTGTTTCAGCGCCGCGCGCTAGGACTTCCCCAAACGGCCTATGTAGGAGTGAGATGTTCCACAGGCTCACGAGTGCGGCAGCGTGCTCGCCCCGCGACGTGTTATTATAGCTGGTGGGACGCGCAAGTGCATTTTCGCTGTACGCACCCGAACACACCAACGCAATGCATACCTGCGCGGTATTTCGTTCGTAGCAGAATCTGTGACGATCGCTGCATCTGAAGGAAGAAGGAGTCTCGCGGCACACGCGTTGAGCACGCGTACGTCGGCCTTGAGCAGCATGATGAGGGAGTTTGCCTGCTTGAGGCACTCTTCATCGGTGGCGACATTCTTCGTACCGGGCGAGAACATGCGCAAACAGGACAATGTTTATGTGTGTATGTTATTAGCATCACCGCGCTGACTGGCTGACCAATGAAATTACACCAGTCTCAGTGCGGTAGAAAACACAATTGCACTTCAAAATGCCATGAACTGGGACCCCGTGAGGGGGCGGTGCGGGGAGACTAAGCTATTATCCGGATTCAAGACGGAAACGGTAGCCACAGAAGAAAACTGCACACGTGCTTACCAGGTGTGAGTGTGTGTGCGTGAGAGAGAGAGAGAGAGAGAGAGAGAGAGAGAGAGAGAGAGAGAGAGAGAGA